ATTAATCATATTAGGTTCAAATTTTTAAATTTTCAACTAAACTCAAAATCAACCCGTCAAGTTTGGCATTCCTACAAAAATCCCAGTTACTCACATTTACTCATCCTCAACTAACTTTTAAAGGATGCATACTCCAGTGATCTTGATGTAACAGAAGGAAATAAATGTTATGTCTGTTGCAAATACAAAATGAACAAATGGGCTGGGCCCCGACGAGACTACTCATCCCAGTAGAATCTTACTGCATAATTCATTCTATTTTAATTTCTCCATTCCTATTTTTGTGTCATTGAGTCACTTGGGGGGAGTTTTTCATTTTTCAGGGTATATTGATGTATATATAACATTAATTTACAAAATTTATGTGCATGTCATTGTGACCTGAACGGCAACAGTTTGTGTCCTGCAATATTAGCAAGGAGGGGCCACGCCCTTATTATTATATAGACAACCAAAAAAATATGTATTTGAAAGGAGGCATGGAACTTCGGGGGTTAATCCTAGTGATAACATAGTTTTGAATTCAAATTTTGATAATTTTTTAGATTTATCTTTTATGAATAACCTAGTTTTGACGTAAATAACATATCTTTGACTAAACTGAAGAAGAAATTAATCGACGTGCCCGTAAATTGACCTAAATATTTTTCACCGTTGAAACAAAAAAGTAAGGGGGCCATGTCTACAACAGTGTCTGATTCTGAGCTCAAAGCTTAAACTTCAATAAGGCAAGCCTGTCTCTGATTGTCTGCTTGGTGTGTTTCAAAAGAGAACTACTATGTATCCTGAAGGAGTTTTACTTATTCCTACTTCTATTTGCATTTTCTTTTATGAAACCGGATGTCATTTTTCTGCAGTGACCATCAATTACCAGCTACGTAGTAAAACGGATTCAGAGACTAATTTAATCTACTTTACCCATAATGAAAAATTACATGTAATATTGGCAGGTTAAGATCACCTTGGCTATGCTGAGTATATGTCGAAGAAGTATTTAAGGAAGATTTGGGACGTGCATAGGATCACTAGATAATAAAAGTGCTGCTCCGGTAAAAAGTGAAGTGATGATAAAATCTGCCAATTAGTCTAGTTCTTCTCCATCATCTAAACTATCTTATTTTTTGGTTTAACGGTCAAGTGAAGTACATTTCGATTAATTTTCTCTCCGATTCGGTCAAAAATAAACCATTATCTAAACTTCTGCACACAATGAAGCCAACTTTCAGTAAATTAAAATTTTAAGCTGAGTACAACAATAAATAAGAAATAAAAAATGACCCTAGAACGGTCAAAAACTCACCAAAATTGACATCCCCCTCGGGAGTGTGTGTAAAGCCGGGCGTTCTGTTGGTTGAAGATATCTTTCTGACAAAACCCTAGTTCAAACCTTTGTGATTGGTTGCCTAATGGGAGCTGGGGAGAACCATTGCAAGCAAAGTGGAGAGAAATGAAAAGGCACTAAGATATTGGCGCGGCTCAATCAAATTATCAAACTCTTTACATGCACTTTTAAGCTTTCTTGCGTAAAAAGTGCATGTTTTTTCAACTTCTTGAGTGAACCGAGCCAACATCATAGTGACTATTTCAAAGTTTGAAGCCAAGACCCTTTTTGCTGCTTCTTTTACTTCTCTAGTTTGTTCTTTCATACCACCAAAACGGACATTAAGAGAGAGTGGTGAAGGAATGGGAATGTCTGGTTGAATTTAAAAAGAAGGGACTGTGTAGGTGCATTTAAAACCCTCGGCTACCTGACCCAAGAGACAAGGACCAGACCATTAATGGTTAACCCAAGCCCCATAAATCCATAATATTCTCCTTTTCTCTCTCAACATTAAGAGGGGAATCCGCCATAACTTCTCTCCTGTTTTTTCTGTGAACTATGTGCACGTACATTAATTTCCACAAGGGAAAATCTCTCCTATCTAACGAGTTGATGTTGTTTATATCTTCACCAGTTTGGTACTGCTATAGATGAACTTCAGTGAGCCATTTTTATCGTTGGCATTGAAGCATGGGCTAAACCATGACATTTGACCATACACAAAAATGTTTATGTAAAATCAATCAAAGATGTGGTCGTGTACGTGATGGGTTATGCTCAACACAATAAAAGATACAGATTAAATGACTTGTTTTGAGTGACCTATTCTTTGAAGAATTGTTACGGTGGCTGAAGAATCTTATTGCTTAAATTGTGTAAAATGTTGAGATTTGGGTCATGTCTGTCATGTGTATGCGGAGTTTATAATTTATAGACGAGTAGCAATTTACAATAGATCTAAGGGTGCCTTGATTGAAGCACAATAACTAGAAGCGGGGTGGTTCAGTGAGACTGGCATCATCCTCGCAATGGGCGAGGTGATTGTCGATGCGCACTACTTTGATTACATTCCGCAATTTCCTTTCTAAGATGGAGACTCCCACGTGTGTTAGTAATAAATTGATCTTATGATGTGGTGTGCTTGACCCAATTCACATTGTGATTAACTTTTGTTAGTTTGCATATGTAACCTAGGTTTGGCGATTTGGGTTTGACCTGAATCTGTGATCTAGGTCTGGTCCGATATAAATCCATCAATATAAACCAAATCTTTGGGAAAAGAAAAAAACAAAATGCGTACTAATAGAATTATAGATTTATAATAATAGTAATGAGGCCCAAAATGTGGATCGGAATAGGCCCAATATCTTCTTTTGTTCCCACATAAAGGCTCCAATGACATGACCAGGCCCCTATGCATCTTCTGCCTTGAACCAGATTATGAAAAACTTTAGTGAAAAGATTTGAGGTCCAACTGAGAGTCAGTAAATATTTAAGGTAAATATGACGGTGAGGCTTTTTTTTTTTTTTTTCCCCTTGACGGTCAAGGTATGCAGATTATTTTATTTACACTTCGATTAATTTTTTCTTTGATCTGATCAAAGGTAAATCATCAACGCCAAGACCAGAATATTCATGGAGTATTCAAAATAGATAAATCTCTCGTGCCCTTGGCCAAAAGAGTTGTCAAGATTTAAAACGTCTGAAATTCAACTCTTTTTTATTACTACTTGAATTACCCTTTATACATGATTTGGTAAGAAGGATGTAAAGTAAGAAAGATACACTTTAAGGAAGGAAAGTAGGAATGATAAAATTTTTTTCATCTTTTCATCCTTCCATCATATCAAACAGAGCATTATGTTCCATTTAGTACGATGAAAAAATAGAAGGATAGAAAGTTTGAAAGATGAAAAGTTTGAGGGATAAATAAAACATCATGTTTGATAAAGAAAGAAAATAGGAAAGATGAAAAAGTGGATGAATTAATTTTCTTTCCAAATCACCAAAATCAATCCCTTCAAAATCGGACAGAAAGTGGATAAAAAATTAATTATTTGTGTTGAAATATATCTTATTTGTCTATATATTATATATACATTAATTTTATATAAAAATACAATGATAAAATATATATTTTTTATATATATATTAAATAAATTTTAAAATAAATAAATTTTAAAATTTAAATTAAAAAAAATATTTTTTTCATCTTAATTATGGGTGAAAATTTTTGACTCAATACGATGAGATGACTCGAATTCAATAGAAATTTTATGTCACGAACTTGAAAATGACTTAACACACGAACAAAAAAATATAAAGAGCTCATAAGTTTATGACTCACCATAAATCTGACATGACATGACTCGATTGTCACCCCTAATCTTAGCCAGCACAAAAAAAATTAAAAAAAATAGTCATTTTTATTTTTTATCCATTCAGCCAAACACAAAAAAAAAATGTATCATTCCTATTTTTTACTCTTGAAAGATAGAAAGTGTATCTTTTTAACTTTTTATTCTTCCAAACAAACGAAGCATTAGGGTTACGGTGACTGCCTTTCAAGCTGTACAAAGTTGTTGATAATTTTGAGCAGAATATTTAAATCTGATTGCTATGTTAAACGGATCGAATTTAATCTCACCTCGGATCATAATCGGTCCGATCAACAACCTTATTGGGTAAATCATTGTGATGGGAAAATATTGGGTTGGGCCGAACATGGCATGCCCAAGTTCTTTTTGTGCATGGACCAGCTACCGTCCACTACTTCCTGACTTTTTCCAAGTTTCAAAATTCAAGCGCGGAAGACCGAAAACGGAAAACGGCAAGGAAAATAAAAAACATAATAATGACAAAATGGATACATTCGTTTTCATGTGATATGTTTACGCGTGTATATACATATATATATATAAATTATTCACTGCAATAATGATATTATATAATTATTGATATGTATAACTAACATTTTTTGCTAAATAAAGATGAAATTAAGAAATTATTTTTCATTCGATCTATACAAATGATATTAAAAAGAGTACTATTTGATTCTAGCATTCATGTTACAAGTTTGAATTATAGTTGAGATAATGTATAAATTTATAATATAAAGTTTAAATAAAATAGTAAATTGAGTCGGAATTAATATAAAATTAAAACCAAGTTGTGATAACTAAATTTGAACTTAATATTGTATCATTATTAGATTAAATTAATTTAATCTAATATCTTAATATCTGAACCAAAGTTGCCCTTATAATCTCTAATCTATGTAAAATATAGGACAAAAACTATTTTAAATTTAGATAATTGACCAAAATATTAATTCATATATGAGTTATAATATTTGATTTTAGAACGTCTTTGGAGTCAAAATCGATCCAATTATCAAATTGAGGAATGATATATTAGACATATTTATTAATTTAATTAATAGATATTAATTATTAATTTAATAATTATGATAAATTAAATTAATAAATTATGTCAACAGTGTTACACTATTATTCATCACAGCACAGCTAATTAGCTTGGGGTATGTCCTTTGACACCTGGACGGCTCCGATCTCCGACATAGGAATATCTGCCGCTGCAAACAGTCCAACCTTTTACACTGTTGTCTGTTCCAAGCCCACGTCTCATTGCGCTACTGGCGGTTCAGGCTCCGTCGATTGCGTTTCGTACTCCGACTCGTCACACTCTTCAATGCAAAAGTGTATTCTATTCTGGTTGAATCATCTGGGTCTTTTTTTGTTTTTTTTTAATTGTTTTAGTTGAATCTCTGTAAATTTCTTTCATGGACAAACTCAAAAAATCCTTCAAATCTAGTCCTGATCAACGCCCTGAAGAACGCCAAATTCTCTTAAACCAAAGTGAAAATCCCATGGCATCCCAGTCCGATGATCAAGGTGACACTAAAGATCTGGTCATCAAAATCAATGGCAAAGAAAACACCAAAGAAACTGAGCTTGTTTCAAAGTTATCGTCGCCGTCGCCGTCGCCGTCTCCGTCTAACGGTCGAGGAAACGATACGACCAGCACGATATGGCGAGACTCTAGCTATGATTTCTCAAACGATGCGACAGCAGCGAAAGTTGGGAAAGAGTTCGACTTTGTTAAGACGGATTCGCCGTTATCTCAACGTTCGCCACTATCGCGAATTGCTGAGAGTCCAAACCACGGTCAGCTTTCGGCAAGGGAAGTTAGGGTTTCGTTTAACGAGGCCACGACTGAACCTGTTCGAAGACGGTCCAATGCTAGCAGTGAACGCGTTGGTGGCGAACAAGGAGAGATTTTAGTGTGCAGTTCGAACTCGTCGTTTCGGCAAAAATCAAACTTACTGAGTACGAAGACGAAGTCGAGGTTGATGGACCCACCTGAAGATCAGAGGTCTCAGAGGCTCATGAAGTCTGGAATGATCGGAAAAGGTAGTGAACTTGACGAAGATGACCCTTTCTTGGAGGAAGATATACCGGAGGAGTACAAGAAGATGAGGTTCAGTACATTGACTGTGCTTCAATTGGTGAGCTTAATTTTGATAATTGCTGCTTTGGTTTGTAGCCTTACAATCCCAATTTTAAGAAGGAAAATGATATTTGATCTTGAGTTGTGGAAATGGGAGGTTCTGGTTCTGGTTTTGATCTGTGGAAGACTGGTGTCGGGTTGGGGAATTCGGGTCGTTGTTTTCTTTATTGAGCGTAATTTCCTGCTTCGAAAGCGTGTTTTGTATTTCGTTTATGGGTTGAGGAACGCTGTGCAGAACTGTATTTGGTTGGGTTTAGTTTTGATTGCTTGGCAATGCATTTTTGATAAGAGAGTTGAGAGGGTGACCAATGCGAATATCTTGCGTTATGTAACCAAGATTTGGATCTGTCTTTTGGTGGGTACATTGATTTGGCTTCTGAAAACACTTCTTGTGAAGGTTCTTGCCTCATCTTTCCATGTTAGTACATTTTTTGATCGGATTCAGGAGTCTTTGTTTAATCAGTATGTGATTGAGACACTCTCGGGTCCACCATTGATTGAAATTCAGCAAGAACAGGAAGAGGAGGAGAGTGTCATGGCTGAGGTTCAAAAATTTCAGAATGCTGGGGTGTCTGTTCCTGCAGACCTGAGGGCAAATGTTTTTCCAAAGAGTGGGAAAGTGATAGGGGGTGGAACACCTCGAAAGACCCCCAAGGCTTCTACTGCAAAGAGTCCTATATTTTCCAGGGTCATGTCTAAGAAGGAGAAGGAAGAGGAAGGAATTACAATTGACCACTTACACAGATTGAATCAGAACAATATTTCAGCTTGGAATATGAAGAGGTTGATGAATATTGTCCGAAAAGGGGTACTATCGACTTTAGATGAGCAACTGCAAGACTCAACTAGGGAGGATGAGTCTACAGTGCAAATTACAAGTGAAAACCAGGCAAAAGCTGCAGCCAAGAAGATATTCTGCAATGTGACTAAGAGAGGGTCTAAGTAAGTTCTTTGCCTATTTTGTTAACTGCACCTTTGTCTGCTTGATTGGTTGATATGGGAGTTTCATGTTAGCTTCATTTGTCAATCACACCTGTAGAGATTGTTAATTAGATCTTTAGTAACCAGTTCAATTGTTTTATATTGATCCTTATTTCGTGTGCACAAGAAAGAACTGCATTATTGGATTGATGGTATCCGTCATAAGATAGAGTAGGCACTAGATACTGATAAAGAGGCAAGTGAGGCGCATAATTTTGGAGGTGCTTCACATCAGCGTACACATTTACAGATAAGGTTACCAATATTATTTTCTGCTTGAAGGACACAGATCAGAAATTTGTACCACTGTACCTGCAAGTCAGGTCACAAATTATAAAGCAAAATGGAGTCAGAGAAATGGTTGTAGCTGGTATTATTTTGTGGGGATCTCAAAGATTTTAATTTCTTGTCGTATTACATTTATTTGTTGGTATATATTTGAAGTGTCCTTCTGTGTCAGACAAATAAACCTGGAGGATCTGATGCGCTTTATGAGGGAAGATGAAGCATTGAAGACTATTCATCTCTTTGAAGGAGCAAGCGAAAGCAAGGGCATAAGCAAGCGAGCTCTTAAAAATTGGGTGGTAAATTATATTTCCATGCTTTCCCCTCCCTTTTTCTTGTCTGTATTGGTGGTTGATCAGATGTGCTTTACACATAAACCTATAGTCTGACGTTTTGAACTTAATTGATCATTGCCCTATATGTCCATTGGTTGAATCGTTGAGGCTTCGTACACAAAATATCAATGGTGTTGTGAGTGTACTTCTACGCTTATTATTCTAAGGATGCACATATCATTGATATCTGTGGTAAGTGCACATATCATTGATATCTGTGGTAAGGCTAGTCATCAAGAGAATGGAATTATAGTCAATTGTAAGATCTTATAAGACCATCTTAAATGAACAAATGAAAGAGGAGATTGGTGAACTCTATAAGACCAACTAGTTTTGTATGGTAAAGCCTCATTTTTTTTTGGGAAATCTGAAAGAAAAAAAAAATTCATACATGCTGTATTCAGAATGCAGAAAATCAGTATAACAAAAAATGGTTCTCTTTTTCCAGTATTGATAATAACATGATCTGTATCTATCTTTACATTCTTCCGAAACGGTAACCAGATGGGGCTTGAACTTCCCATGTTTTGCTTGGATAATCTGCTTAGTGCTTAGGTTCCAATTCTCATGGTAACAAGATTCTGACCTTGATGTATGTTGGTTATTATCTGGATTATCTAAGGCAAGCTGGCCTTGATTCATGGCCATCTTACTGAACATCCTCAATTAGGCTTGAGAACTCGATAGGATGGCATTTTTCAAATCAATAGTCCCATCTCTATATCGGAGACTTCAGTATCCTGATCTTTCCCTTCCAGCCATATTACTTCCCATCTGCTTAACTGAGTTGGATTAAGTTCGAACAATCTATCCTTCCTTTCAATTTCAATATTTTGAACTGACATGTTGTCTATGTATGTGTTATTCTTTGACAGTACAAGGATATTATGATTTTCTTTTTTTCCAGGTCAATGCATTCCGAGAACGGAGAGCCCTTGCTTTGTCTCTCAACGACACAAAAACAGCTGTAAACACACTCCACCATATGTTGAATGTCCTTGTGGGAATGGTCATAGTGGTTATCTGGCTTCTTATACTCAAGGTTACCACTACCCATTTCCTTATCTTTTTAAGCTCCCAGCTTCTTTTGGTGGTCTTCATGTTTGGAAACACATGCAAGACAACATTTGAGGCAATCATTTTCTTATTCGTAATGCATCCATTTGATGTGGGTGATCGCGTTGAAGTGGAAGGAGTTCAGGTAAGACCTTACGCATTAAAGCTAAAATCATGTCCATTTTGCTTACATGTGCGTTTAAGCATGTATTTCTATCAAATGTTTGTGGCTGTAACTTCCATTTATTTTGAGTCTCAGATGATAGTCGAAGAGATGAATATATTGACAACGGTTTTTCTGAGGTATGATAACCAGAAGATCATATATCCAAATGCAGTACTATCTACCAAACCCATCAGTAATTATTATCGCAGTCCAGATATGGGAGATGCAATTGACTTTTGTATCCATATCTCAACTCCCATGGAAAAGATTGCTATGATGAAAGAGAGAATAACGAGGTATTCATGAATATGCTTATTTTTTTCCTCATTTGTTTTTCTCTCGTCTATTATGTAGCTTTTGCGGCATAATGTCAAAAGGTTGCTTCTGTTTACCTTACGAGGATTATAGCACAATGGCTTGGGTAGATTTGCAGAGAGCTACTGGCATGCTTTGAGTTCAATGTTTTTAATAGTATTTTTCCGTCTTGTGTCAAGTCTATAAACTAGCTAATAGATTTATGTCTCTCATCTACTGTATGATATGGTTGCCTCGATTGCAGGTATATTGAAAATAAGAGCGAGCACTGGTACCCAGCTCCGATGATAGTCCTGAGGGACGTGGAGGACATGAACAGGCTGAAAATATCATTGTGGCTTTCACACACAATGAACCACCAGGACATGGGTGAGAGGTGGGCAAGGAGGGCTCTTTTGATTGAGGAGATGATCAAAGTGTTCACGGAGCTTGATATTCAATACCGAATGCTGCCCTTTGACGTTAATGTGCGACAAATGCCAGCTCTGACTTCAAACAGGCTTCCCTCCACTTGGGCTGTTTGTGCTAGCTGATCATACATGAAAAATGAGCAGTCTGCGATTTCATGTCAGATGTTGGACATGTAGCAGCAATGCTCGTTGGATCAGGAGGGGGAAGTACTAGGTATTGGGAGGTTTAGACTGCGAACCGTACATTGTGACCTTGATTAGAAAAAGGGGCAATATCAATGTTGCATTCAGACATGCACATGAGTTTTCTAGCCTGGTAACATCATATAGCACATATAGGATAGATTTATGCGGATATATCTGTGTGTGTGGGCAAAGTATTATTTTTCTTATTCGAAGTTTTCTATGCTGAAGAGTGAATACATTCGAAATTTGAGGTCAATTATCTAGAGTGTGAGATTTGTGGTGATATTAGTCATATACCTAAAATAGGATAGACTGTATGGAACGATGTATCTGGTATACTTTGTGAGAGATGCGCAACTCTTAAATTGAAGAGAAAACTATATCATAAAGTCACAAGACCTGTCATGTTTTAGGGTATTGAATAGTGGACAATTAAGAAACAATATGTTCGGGAATTATATTGCAGAAATGATAATAATAAATAAATTTGTGGTAAATTTAAGAAAAATAGAATTAAACAAATGAATTTGAGCTGGTTTTATGGTAAAATAATAATGCATCATAACTGTGACCTCTGAAGGCTTAACAACCTTTTTGAAGCATGAAAAAGCTGTAAGAATTCATTGAAGGTTACAGTTGGCTAGGGTTTTTTTTTTTTTTTTTTTTTTTTCAGTTCAACGGCTATCGGGTGACCTTACGTGTCTTTTGACTAATTCTTTCCTTAATCTGATTAAAGATAGATCATTCACGTCAAAATTAAGAAATTAATGAAAGATAAATCTCTTATAATTTAGTTTAAAGAAATTTTCAAAATTTGAACTTAAACGGCTAGATTATTGTTTGTTCAAAGATTTGTATTATCTTTTTTTTTTCGGTCAGACCATCTGGTATTCGAAAGTTATTTTGGGCTCCGACTAATCCAGATTCGAGCCAAGTAGAACCACAAGAGCGATAAAAACTCTCCTTACCGAACGCAGTTGCATTCCTAAGACTCGAACTCGAGACCTTGGTTAAGTTAGAACAGTTTCTCACCAACTAATCTAACGCTCGGTGGTTAGAATTGCATTATCTTTGAACACAGATCAAGCGAAGCTTTTTTCTTCCTTTTTTTTTTCCTTACTTTTTTTCTCATATCAAGCCAAGTTTGAGATGAGTTAGCGCTGTTGGGTTTGATTACAATTCCATTATTTGGACGGAGGATATGCTTTTGCATTAGAACCCTAAATCTTTGGGTAAATCTTTTAGGGATTCTTGGCATTTGATATAATTATAGAGCATGGAGTCATAGTGTACCGTACCATATGAAGCAACCCTATTTTAAGCGTAAATAGGATGGTTTCAACTTCTGACATAATTAATTAATCCAATAATGTGGTTATTGATATGGTTTCATAGCATTATTACAACCGCAACTATTGAATTTAATCATTAAAATCATATCACTTAACATATCATTTAGTCAACAAATTTTTCAATCAAAAAAATTATTACTTCTAACATTTAAAATATTATATATATACGCCTAAAGTTTATATTGGTATAACACTTAAACCCCTGCCATCAATATTCGCTCAGAGCTCTTAAAGTTTGTAAACTTATAATATTTAGGCCCTTTATGTTTAAAATATTATATTTAGACAAAAAAATACTCAAATCAAATATTTTAAATTTTATAACCAAAATTTCTGTTATATTATAACATTTATTAAAATAAATCAAAAATAAAAATATATTTTTTTCTTAAAAAAATTATAATTAATATATAATTATATTATCTATTGAAATTTAATTTACTCATTTAAACGACTAAATTAAACTACCAAGTTATCCCAATTAAAAGCTAGAAGATATTGTGTCAATTACAGTTTGACCATTTATTTGATTTTTTAGTTTTATTCTAATAGATAATATAATTATATATTAATTACGATTTTTTAAGAAAAAAATTAATTTTTTATTTTTAATTTTATTTCAATAAATGATACAATAGAACATAAATTATAACTGTAAAATTTAAAATATTTGATATTCTATCTTTAATTGGAGTTTTTGTGGTCTAAATATAATAACAGTTTAAATTTGAAGGGTTTAAGTATTACATACTTATAAATTTCAAAGAGTTTAACTGTAATTTATTAATTAATATACTAACGGACATTAATGACATCAATCTAGGTGATAGGCGCGTTCAAACCTTAAAAAGTCTATGTATAATATTTCAAATGTCAAAAAATTTAAGTGATCGTGTAACAAACCTTAGAAGATTTAAGTATAATTCTCTTCTCTTTTTTTTTGTATTCCAGGTTTCTAAATCAATTTACTTTCTCCTTAGCTAATATCTTTTTTAATTTAGTTAAAGTCAAGTCATTCACACCAAAATTATAAAATTCATAAAGAATAAATTTATCATATCTAAACTCCACTTTAAAAAAAATTATCAAGGTGCGAATTTAGAATATTGAATTTCCAGCTCACCCTTGGGGTTAAACTGTGTAACTTTGGGGGACCCTATCAACATCCTCCTGAAGTAAAGGATAAAGTGGAAATAGTGCCCTCCCTACGCTGGATGGTTGTAAACAGAGACAAGACCACCTGCAGCAAAATCCAAAGAAAACTTACCCATCCTCCAACTCCAACCACCTCCAATGGGCACGCCGGTGAAAGTGTACGGTCCACCATTGTCCACTGCTGTCTCCAGGGTTCTTGCCTGTCTCCTTGAGAAAGATGTCCCTTTTCAGCTCATTTCCGTCAACATGTCCAAAGGCGAGCACAAAAAGCCAGACTACCTCAAGATACAGGTATTATATATGTTCGATCTATAGAGGGGTGTCTGTGTGTGTGTAAATTCCAGTGTCTGTTGATTTTATTTCCCGCTTGTTCTTTCTTAATTTTGACTGTAAACAGCCCTTTGGCCAAGTCCCAGCTTTTCAAGACGAAAGCATCTCTCTCTTTGGTAAATTTTCAAATTCCCTTCTTGTCTGTAATGTTTCAGAGCTTCAATTCAGTTCAAGATTTTGTTAATCATCATTAGATCTGGAAAATTGGTGGTTTTGTTTTTCTGAAATTGAAGTTCGTGTTTTTGATGAGACCAGAGTCGAGAGCAATATGTCGATACATATGTGACAAGCACGCAAGACAGGGAAACAAGGGTCTGTACGGAGTAAACCCGTTGGAAAAAGCTTCAATTGATCAGTGGTTGGAGGCCGAGGGACAAAGCTTCAACCCACCGAGCTCAGGCCTCGTGTTTCAGCTAGCTTTTGCACCGCGAATGAAGATCAAGCAAGACGAAGCAATTATCAAGCAGAGTGAAGAGAAGCTGGCAAAAGTGCTCGATGTGTATGATAAGAGACTCGGTGAGACTCGGTACCTGGCTGGCGATGAGTTCACATTGGCTGATCTTTCTCACCTGCCTAATACACAGTACTTGGTGAGTGGGACTGATAAAGGAGAGCTCTTCACTTCGAGGATGAATGTGGGAAGGTGGTGGGGTGAGATTTCGAGCCGAGAGCCGTGGAAGAAGGTGGTTGAAATGCAGAACACACCACCATCGGCAAAAGCTTGAATTGGGTTCGTGATTTCTAGGTGTACCCTTTTGAAATGGGCATGTTTGAGTTTTATGCTTCTTCATTCTAGTTTCACTTCTGCTTTGCTAGGTTTGTGATCTCTTTTGCTTGTAGCACCAAGTTGTCGTTGTAATTGCTTCAAGTTCTGGAGACCCTTGTTATGCATCTCACTAGAAAGGTGTTCAATAATGAGATAGATTCATGTTATCAGTCGTATATAAATGGGATACTTTTTTCTCAAAATTGCCTTGTTCCATTTGAATACACTCATACCCAAAATCTTCATTATCCAACCCTTCTACCGGAGATCAAACTTTTAGGTTAAGAAAGGCAAATTCCTGGATGGTTGAAAAAAAGTTTTGAAACATTCCTAGCAGTCCTAAAAGTAAATGAATATTAGAGTTGGGACAATTTCTCCATCAATCTGATGTACACAAAAATTGTAGCTTTATGTGAAAATTAAGAGTTGGCTGTCTATTTCTATAAGGGCCAGATTACCATCGATCAAGCTTGTTCCTCTTGTGTCAGCAAGCAGAGCGGTAGGTTCAGAGACTTGCCCTTTTATGGACTCTGAATGAGAAATAATATTTTAAAATCATGCCCAAGACTGTTTCCAAGTCATGCAGATCATGATTTGGATTGAAACACCCGATTTCCTCTTTTACCTGATTTCCTAGCTTTTCATTTAATTGATATGCATGTTCCTCGTTTTTAAGCACACACGCATAAGCAGAAGGGGGGGGGGGGGGGGGGGGGGGGGGGAATAGGAGGGCTGAAGTGCACAGATTTGACCGTACCTAGCAATGGCACCTTGACACTGTTTATGCAGAATGAACTCAATGACTGCTATTCCAAGGAGCAGTTAGATGAATTCCATTTAGACAACAACACTAATGTTGCGAAACACAACCCCAAATATCAGAAACAAATAGGTAAATAGGCATATCAAAACCATAAAAATATCAAACAAGCAGATGGTTGATTAGGCGAATATGGTACAACTTATGTGTATTTAATTATTTACAGAATCTGGCAGGTGAAAATAGGCACATTAAAGCTTAAAAATACAGCAATTTAAACAATTGCACTTACACGCTTAACACAAATTGGGAGAAACCCAAATTGGTGGAGAACAAAGAAATCCAGTCTGTGAATTGCGAGGAAAACCCAGCAATGCTTCAATACTACCATCTTCCAAGTAGTAAACACCCAAATCATGATCCCCACTACCACCATCATAATTAGCCTCCGAGTAATCATCTGCAAAATAGATACAATTCCCTTTACATCCGGGAAAATCAGAAGACAACAACACCAAGGATAAACTTTCCCCAAAAACAACACCCGATCACCCAAACTTGTCACCCTCTCCCACTTAGGTCCACTCAAATCCAGCCTAAACACTCGAAATTCGCTTGTCTTATATGCAATATCAAGGTAAACATCAAATTCAAGTTCTAAATATCGCGTTACCAATAATAATTCATCCATCCAATTCACCAAATATTCCATATCCCCAACGGTATGTCTTGGTGTATCAATAAATGAAACCCTAGGTGAATCACCCTGTAAATCACAAACCGCAATGCCTCCAAATTTGTTCACAGCATAGAACAGCCCATTGTAATAAATAACATCCTCGCAATATGAATGCGCTTCATGTATAAATCTCCAAAATGGTTCACCATTGTTAAGGTAAGCAAGATCACCTGTTTGATTAAGTATCGCCACAGCAATGTAATTTGAATCATTCAGAGGACTCGAAGAAAGGATCATCTTTTTCACAAAGGAATCGCGCATTTCCTTTAAATTTCGAGTATAGACATCACCATCAGGATCACGAAGCTTATATTCACGGCCCACATCGGAGAAATTGAAGTCAATGACATTCGGAAACGCCGACAGCGGAAGAAGATTAATCTTAGCTCTTGTTAGGAGATTTATAATGAAAATAGCCGGTGATTCTTCGAGGATTATGAGCCAACCGTGCGATGAACCGCATAGGCGACGGCGGTGAGAGGCTTCGGGAAGATTGAGGGCATAGACCTTGTTGTCGGTGAGGCTATACAATGCTCGACAGCTACTTAGGTTGTACCGGTTATGAGGGAGCATGAGCCATGGGAGTTGGCAAGGAAGGTGCTTTGGGGTTTTTGGGGTTGACGATCCCCAATTGACACAGACGGCTCGGAATCGGATGTAATCGCCGAGGACTGTGAGTTTTCTGGCGATAGTTTCGAGCAATTCTGGTCGGAGATCCGACCAGTCAACGGCCATGTTTGGGTGATAACCGGTTAAGCTTTTAGCTTTACGGTTTTTGTCAGAGTTTATATCATAATACACGTTGAGTGGACCCATGACTCATGAGTACGGCGAATTCACCTACTTATCACACTTGAATTCATTAAAATTCAATTCTAATAAATTAGTCTCGTAAAAATTTTATATAATACTCCTATTTGCAAAAATCATGTTTAAAACAACCACGCTTATATGTTACAATCAAGCCCCACGAGGGTCAATCTAATGATTAAAGTGATTAATAAACCGTTTCACATATAAATTTTTTTATTAATCATGTCAAATTAACTCCAGTTTACAAAATTAATGACTTGAAAAAAAATTCAAACCAACAAATTTCATTTTTTGTTTACGTAATCGCTATGGCTATCCATGGGCCGGGCCGGACAGGATTCGGCCTGTAAATTTTTTCGTGTCATGCTTGAATAATATAGGCCTAAGTCTTTATTTGGACGAGTTATCGAATGAATCAGGCCAAACTTTGGATAATAATAAATTACCCACAGTCCAACCCGTCATTTATTGAACGGACTTCTCACGCTCAAATGCACAAATCACAACTGAGCGAGCTTACTATTGCGTTAAACCCACTTTCACCTCTAACAACACCGTAGTGCAAATTAAGAAAAAGTACCTTTTTTTGTTTCTTTTTTAATCGGAAGAAAAGCTACCAACAAAAGATGATTGTAGGTTGCTACTACTAGACAGCCCCTAATGTTCATGAAGTCCTTGAACCAACTGTTCTCAGAATGTCAGAATTAATGCAATGAAGTTCTCCAACTACTTCATGGAGTGCAGTATAATCTTCCAGTAAATACGAGAAACCCCAGGAATTCTAACGGGTTATTGGGGCTAGGCCGGCGGGTTTTCGTGGGCAGATTATTGGGCCGGATTTTGGGCTTTGGGCCGAGTAGTGGGGTTTAAAGGTTAACTCAAGCTCTTTTTTAAATGATATTTAGTTCGGACTCAGACGGGCCAACTATTAGATTTCAGGTTTATTTTTTGGACTAAATAACGAAACCCATGGATGACCCGCCCATAGATATCCCTAGTCCTCGCGTTAATAAGTCGTGCCTGATACCTCTATTTACACTGGACGGAGTCTTCCCTAAAACGCTCTATCAAGTCACATTCCAAGATGGGCCTCAACTGGTAACCCAAGCCCAATGGCCATTACTTTATACGATCCATACAATTTGTGTTCAGCCATTTTTCAGACCAAATGTGACGGAGCCCAAAATCGAGACTCTGAAGTCTACCTCTAACAGATTATATGGCAAAGCCATGTCTTTGGTGGAAAGAAATAAATATAGTTTGACAAAAAAATAGTCTAGCAATGTTTACTTGCCAAAGAAGCAAACGTGCCACCCAAAGAACTCTATTAATTATCAATTCAAATGCAAGGTTTTCACTTTCATACTCAAACAAGGATTCATAATATATATTGAAAGAGGATATCTATGAACCAATTGTTTTTAAGTTTCTCCCAATACTAAGAGATTAGTTTTTTTTCGATGACGATCCAGAGAATAGTTCTGATGACGGAAATTTCCGAAGTTATTGAATCTGCAAAAAGATCACAAGCTCCAGACACCCCGTCACAGTTTATGGTTCCTCACTGCTGCCATTACAATAACAGCACCGAAGATTTCAGTTGCTGCTTCAATATTTCAAGCAACAAATTTCACCATTTGAGTCAACTAGATGCTCAAGGGAAGAGAATATGCGGATCATCAGGTGGATGGCTAATTATAGTCGGAAATAATCTTGAAATCTTTATGTTAAATCCTCTCACCAGAGCCCAAATCCAGCTTCCCTCAGTCTCTTCTTTTCTTGATCAAGCAGACGCATCCATGCAAGTCTTGGGCAAAGCATCAACTGTTTTGATTCATAAAGCTATTCTAGTTTCGAATCCTGCTGGCAACTTGGAAGGTTATAGTGTCATGGTAATTTATGGAGACTCCAGAAAACTAGGGTTCCATAAAGAAGGAGACCATTCGTGGACTTCGCTTCAAGATGCTGGGTCTTTTTATGATGATGCTGTACTCTGTGACAAGGTCTTGTATGCTGTAAACGAGTGTGGAAAAGTTAATGCCATTAGGGAACTGGGTAATTCCCCAGTGGTGGAAGAGATGGTGCCACCATGGTTCTTTCAGGGTAACAAGGTGTATCTCGTGGAATTAGACGAGGAGCTCTATATAGTTATTCGGTTTCTGGAACAGAGTCCGGATTTTGGCTATAGAACGCGTAATTTTAAGGTTTATGAGGTTGATTTTTATGTGAAACTACATGACAGGATCAGAGGCATAGGCGAATGGGCAATTTTCCTAGGCCATAATCAATCAGCATCACTGTCGACTCGTCGTGTTGAAGGACTGAAAGAAAATTGCATCTACTTCACTGATGATAACACAGATGGATATAAGGATGGCATTTTTGGGGGGCATGACACAGGTGTGTTTCACTTGGATGATGGGAGTATCGAGCCATTGTAGTGTTGTTCATCAGATTCGAGCTTTTTGCAACCGCCCCAATCTTGTGTACACACAAATCCTGAGAGATGAGATGATAAATTTGCAAGTAATCTCAGATTTTTTCATTTGTGTACATTCCAACTGATATTCTTGTTACATAGAATGCGCATAAGTTAGGATAAGATCTGTTTAAGTAGTAGAAAGTCGGCAAGAATTGCCCTGAAATCTGACAAATCAACATTATAGGGAAAGGTTTTTATACTTATATATTTTATTTGGTAAAGGTAAACAATTATGTGTTACATTGTCTGAATTTGTTTTGGAAAAGAATTAATGTTCCCTAAACAAGATAATGGTTGATGGGGTGGTACTCTAAACTATTCAGGTTCTTGGAATAACCAAAATTATAAATAAGTCTCAATTCATCCCCAACAATAACAAAAAAAAAAAAGTCTCAATAACTTAGAGCATGGCACTAAGATCCCTTTCGCATCCCCAACCATTGAGTTATCAGATCACTTTCCTTTGCTAGAAGCAATACTCTAAAAGCTTCACTCTACTAGGTCCGGTTATAAATTGTTAAAGTAATTTGTTCTCAGAGACCTGGAATTCATGAAACCTCCCTGTCATCCCACAGACTTATTTCAGTACAGGCTTCACCCCATAATACCATCCTTGCATGATATCCCACAGTTGCTATCAAAAATTCCAACAATCAAACTATAACCGACCCTATCAATAGCCACAGAACTTTATCAATGCATCGAGTATGCTTCATTATTTGCATACCATTGTGTCTCTATCATCCATCTCGATAGCAGAGGCATAATACCACAAAACTAATATACTTCATTGTTCAATCTGCTGCACATAATCTGCCCTTGACAACCCTTCACACCAACAATAGGCATACCAATTGATAATGAACTTAGTAAGTTTGTCCTTTGAACTATATGGCCACAATCAAAATTACACCTACACATACTTTGCAAGGCCTGCTTGTTTAAAGCCAGGTCTTTCAACTTGAACAAACTAAAACCATTCCAAGTTTTTCAACACCAAAAATCAATGGTTTGTAACCCATAAAAAACCATCTAAATTGTCATTCCTTTACCCAATTAAGTGTAGAATTGAAAACCACAACCAGAAAGTCATAGATTTTGATTCTCAAATCAAATATTGTGAATAAAATCCTTCTCGATCTGATTGAACACCCTCCTAAAATTGAACAAATCACTATTAGAATACAGGCACAATTTATGTCTGCAAGCCATAAACTAAGCATTGGCATCTCTCATCCGTGTTTTTGAAAATAGACTTCCATCGTTACCAGATGATCCAACTTACATGCATGCAACTTACTATCTCTAATTTCATAACTTCGACATCAAAAGTCCAACAATGCAACGGGCACACACAAAGTAAAATCTCCTTTCAGATACCAAAAAAAAAAATGTTTTCAAGTACAAGTCATGTCCATTATTTGAAAGGAAAAAAAAAAACAAAAAATACATATTTAGAAGTATCACTGAACTACTGAAGATGCAAACTACAAGACTATCCAACTACTATTTCAAAACTTGACAATAAAGGAAAAAAGATGCATTAGCAGAATTCAGAAATTGACTGATTCCAAGTTAGATGTTGAGTATTAGTTGCATGTACTTAGCAGACTTCAATTTCCGGCTATATAACCAAAACCAATAATAGTTGTTATTTGCTCCATTTTTCAATAAAGCATATAGAGAATTCGTAGGAGAACATCGAGCATAAGAAAACACATCGAATAAGCAATGTCGAAAACCAGTAGCCTGCAAGACAACTTACTCAGCCAAGGGATTAACTTCAGCACTCTTCATAATAGTCGTCCCCCCATTGCCGACAACATATAAATCAGGGTAATTCCGCTGGTTGAGAGAATGCAACAAAAGGGCCACAACTCCTTCCTTGTGTTCTGTTGATGCGGAATGAGAGTATATATACTACATCTTGAAGTCCTCTGCCCCCTCGGCCTAATCTTCCATAGACAGTTCTTCATAACTTACTTGCCATTTCCGGTTATATGATGCGAAAAGTCGCTCATTCAGATATTGATTTCGTCAAGTGTGCTACATCAGATTTGGAAGAAGATTGTTCCACCATAACTGAATCAGAATTCAGAATAGTGAATTCATTTTGGGCAGGTTCGTTTTCTAGCTCCTTCACGGGGTTGGGATTGGTATTCTTATTATCACCATTGACCTTGGAAAGCATAGTATCTCCTCATTACCTTCCCCGTACGAAATAGCAGATCCATTGTTCGATGAAATGTCAAACTGGGCTGACCGGCTGATATTGCCCCAATATAAGTTATAGTTTTAAAACTACGTTTTTCCCATTACTCCGACGACCTTACGCCCTCTCTCCGAGCACTCCAAACACCTTTTACCAACTCATTTCCAGAACCCAAAGGAGGGCTATTGATGAGGTTCGTCGTTTCAACGAATAAAGCGTTCATTCTTGACCACCTCAGTTGCGAGGCCGATGGTAATTCCTATTTTTCCATAAAGCCAAGTATTTGAATTGTATCTTTAGAGCATCCAGAAGAGAGTAATTAGAGTGCACAAAAATTTTAAAATTTTATTATTTTACCTTAAAATTTTCCTCTAATCGAATATTTTCAGAATATTTAAAACAGTATTTTGTTACACTAAGCCGGTGACCCTACGGTGGTGTTTGATAAAGTTGAAAGTTAAATACTAAAAATTAAAAAAAAAAATTCCACAATTGTCTTATTCCTATCACCATCATTACAATGACGGTGGTGGTAATAACGACAATGATGGTCAGGAGCGGAGTTAGAAAAAAAATTTAGAGTGGACACACTAGTCAGTTTTAATTTTTTTTTAATTGATCGTAAAAATTTATACATTCATATTTATTAAAATTATATTTAATACTTAAAAGTTCAGTAAACATAGAAGATTAAAAACTTATATACATAACATGAAAAAAAAATTAGAACTTCTTATAAAAAATGCAACTACTTATTATCACTTAAAATTGACACTGATATGTTTTTATTACTTGAAAGAGTTAGAAATCAATTTTATCAATCATATTTTTTTTACATATAAAATCATAATAACAATTTTTTATTTATAATTATATAGTTTACTACATAGTGACACACATTTTTATTCAATAACGAAATAATTTTAAAATTTTAAAAAATATATAAAATAACCTCAATATGTTCAAAAAAATTCGAACATGTCTAAAGTATGTCTAAAAGCTAATATAATATTAGTTCCATATAATTTGAGATTTAACTGGTGGAAACACACTGGTTTGTGACAATTGAATAGATAGTAGTGTTTATTAAATATTAATGTGAGATCCTAATGCCCCACATCAGTTAGGGAGGGGAAAGTGATTGGGCTTATTAGTAAGCTCCTTGCCTTACATGGCATAAGGTCTTTTCTCAAGAATATTGGGAGGAACAAAACCGTGAAGGCCAGTGGGGCCAAAGTAGACAATAGTATGTCATGTGGAGGGTGGGGCGTTACAATTAAGACTCACTATCAAACTTAATATCACAATGCATTAGGTTTTAATAATATTGTTTGAAAAGTTAATAATCATTTAGTTAGGGGTCTATTCAAATTAATATCACCAACACACAATATTAGGGTGGACACAATTAACTATATTTAAATTTTATTTCAAAAAATACATGTTTAATAAAAAGAAAAAAAAATTGAGAGCGGCATGTGCTCATCCTAGCCCAAGGGTGGCTCTGCCCTTGATGGTGGTAGTGGTAGCAGAGACATAATACTAGTGATAGTGACAACAATAGTAGTAATAGTGGTGGCAACGTTAGTGGTGAAAATGGTGGCAGTGGTACAATGATGATGACAATGACATAATGATGATGAAGATATATTTGCCTATTATGAGAAATTAATAAATTCTTACTTTCTAACATTTTTAGCATTAAATGATAAGTAGGTGTCTAATTACTTAAAATTTTAGCCTATTTTTAAAAAGTGTTTAAAATATTAAGTAGTATAAGTTTTAGGTAGGGGTGTTAGCTCTGACCCATTGACACGAACTCGACACAAACTCGACACGAACGATTAAAAAATTGGCACGATTATTAAATACACATAATAAGTAATTTAGACTAATGTTTAATACTCAAAATATATTAAATAAATTTTTTTTCGTAGGTCTTGACATGAACATGACATGTGAGTCAGATAAACACAACACAATTGACACCTCTAATTTTATATTATTAAACGAGTTTAATTTATTAAGTATTTAAAGTACTCAGTTTGTTTAATCTATTAAGTATTTAAAATCTTCAATTTTAAATCTTAAGTGGTGTTATTAAACAGTCTCTATGTCACTCTATATTTAGAGTATTACCGTAGCAATATATACATATATATACTTTATAATATTTTCTCTTTCCTCCTTTTTTTTCCTCTATTCTCCCTCTCTCCTTTTCACTATTTCCAATAAAAATAGTACAAAAAAAAATTAGAAATAATATTCAAATAAAATAGTTAAAAAATATAAAAAAATTTGTTGGAGTGTGTATTGAAAAAATGAGTAACTAAAATATAAAATATTATTTTTTGAGTAACTAAACTAACTTTTGTTGTTTAGCTAAACTATTTATAACTTTTGTTCTAAAAACATCTCCAAGAGAAAGACTAAAACTTCAAAATGGCTAAAATTTAGCTATTCAAATATAAAAATCATTCTCCACCAGAAGATGTCTAGAGTAGGTAAAATACAATTTTGGATACTCTATATTTTCAACATTACTATAGCATCATATATAAATAGGGCTTGTTTGGTTTTTATATTAGAAATAGATGAATTGGATAAACTAATATAGTCTAATACAATATAAATGGACAAAAGACAATATTAGTTTAGGTATTAGAATAATATGTAATTTTATCTAATATTTAGCAACGCACAACATAAACGTTGGATAGTAGTTATTTAATCCAATCAATTGTTTG